ATTTCCACCACTCCGCTTTCACTTTTCGTTATAAATCCCAGTTTTCCTCCACCAGGCACCGTTCTCAACTTGTTTATTCAAACCTCTGTCTAATCTTCTGCTTTTCTCCAAGTGTCCTTCCTTGTCTCTCGTGCTTTCTCTAATCACCCAATCTCCTTCCACCTTGTCTTTCACCAACCCCCCTTTTTTTTCTTATCAAATTTCGACGTAAGAGTACTCCTTTTTTTCTCTTCTCTTCCTCTTCCTCTGTGTTGTGGCTCCGTCCTCCAAGCCTATCTTATCGGAGGAAGAAGGCTCCGAACATGAAGGAGAGGAGACGGCCAGGCCTCCCTCTCCAGGACCCTCCTCTCTGGCAATGCCTCAGGTGTCTCCCGAAGGAGAAGAGATTGGCCAGGAGCCAGGTGTTTCCGAGCTGTCGGATAGTGACGAAGAAACATTGTGGTTGGACCCATGCCAGCATCGGAGAGACAAGCATGGGCAGCAGAAAAGGAGGCGTGCCAGAGATTAAGCTGAGTCACTGGATCACACCCTACAGGCTATAAAAGGGAGTGTGGTGGCCATTTGGACTCTCTGATGGACAAAGCTAATCTCTGGCGAGTCACTTTGCACCTTTGGACACAACGCCTATTTGCTGTGGATTTAATTACAAACTATTCAAACTGTATTTTTGTCTGTGTTATCGGAGTAAAAGTTCTTGGCAGGCAGCCACGGAGTTGCTGCCAAGTTCCTTATCCTGACGTTAAGTGTTTGAAGAGTTTATTTAACCCTCGGCTGGCTGGTTGGGTGTGTGTGTGGGTGGTACGGGGACAGAACACTCTGTTATCTTACACTCGTTCGTTCTCACTCTTCCCTTTACAGTCAGCTTTCGATCTTCCTTTCTGTTTCTCCCGATCCTCTCTTGGCATTTACTTTCACTTAGTCACAGCTCGTGTCTTTGAATCGCCGCTAGTTTCCTACCAGAGCTCTCTGTAATTTGCCAAATACTTTGTTTTGTTCACTTTGACAGTTCCAATTGTTATGCATATGGGAGTCTCTCACCAGTAGAAATGAGCACAGTCTGCTGATTAAGATTCCTCTTCCAATTCTGTTGTGCACTGTCATGGCCTCGAGTCCACCATGTCAAGATGAGATGACAGGACACATTTGTGCCAGGTTAAAGAGGGTTTCCCTCATTCCAGCGGTTGCACACCACCTCTGGTGTGCTGACCCTCGGGCTTCCCCTCTGCTTCGTGTAGCTCTCCAAGCCTTCAACACGCCTTCGAAGGGTCCCTCAACATGAAAGAAACAGAGTCAAAGAGAGGAGCTCACTCTTTTTCCTCTCCACTGCTCTGACAGCATCACCGGAAGTCCATCCAAAGTCTTTTTTGTCAGTTTAGAAACATCTCTGGACCTCTTTGATCTCATGACATCCGCTAAGTGCATGAGCAGAATCATTTTACTGCTGGCTCATCCCTTTTCAGTTGAAATGATAAATTCTGAGGAATTTCAGATACATTGTTCTCCTGTTGGTGGAAATGCTTATCTCCCCACCTTTTCCCCTTCTTACTACTTGCATGCTTCCAGGTGATCTGTCCCTGTACCCACACACACACACACACAGCCAGTCGAGGGTTAAGGAAACACTTTGGAACGCACCCAGTTCTTATCTCCCACTTGGCAGCGATAGACACACCGTCTGCCAAGTGACTTTATTTTCAAAGTAAACCAGAAAGACAAAATACTCAAGAGTCCAAATGTCCGACACTTTAAATCTTTCTCTCAGCAGCTCTGGACGAGGCTTTAGTGACTATCCAAGGTTTGCTTTGTTCGTCACAAGGATCCTTTGACCACTACCCTCTATTATATAGTCTCTGGGGTGTGGTCCAGTGACTCAGTTCTAATCCCTAGCACGCCTCCTAAACTGCTGCAAACGTTTATCACGCCTTCGGAGGTGTGCGTCCAGGAATGATGTTTCCTCATCACTCTGATTTGAATCAGCTGTCTCTTCTCCCTCGGCCGGCACTTGAGACAATGCCAGAGGGGAGGGGCCTGGAGAGGGAGGCCTGGCTGACTCCTCTTCCTCATGCTCGGAGCTTTCTTCCTCCGATGGGACAGGCTCAGAGGGCGGGGCCACAACACCAGGTTCAGCTGCTATAACATTGTTCTTGAGGTCAGCAGTAATGAAGATGAACATTGGCTGATTCAAACTATATTTGAATTGGACTTGGATTTGAATTGGACTTGGATTTGAATTGGGCAATAGAAGCATGGGACCTGGCAATAGAAATACAGAGACTATAGAATGGCAATCGAAATTGGCAATAGATTACAGATTAACAGAGTTGGAAGGGACCTTGTAGGTCATATAGTCCAACCCCCAGCCCAAGCAGGAGACCCTACACCATTCCTGACAAATGGCACTCCAATCTCTTCTTGATGATGCTCCCACAACTTCCAAAGGCAAGCTGTTCCATTGGTTGATTGTTCTCACTGTCAGAAAATGTCTCCTTATTTCCAGGTTGAATCTCTCTTTGTTCAGTTTCCATCCATTATTCCTTGTCTGGCCTTCAGGTGCTTTGGAAAATAGCTTGACCCCTTCCTCTCTGTGGCAGCCCCTCAAATATTGGAAGACTGCTATCATATCTTTCCTGGTCATTCTCTTCATTAGATTAGCCATGCCCAGTTCCTGTAAACATTCTTCATATGTTTTAGTCTCCAGTCCCCTAATCATCCTGGTTGCTCTTCTCTGCACTTTTTCTAGAGTCTCAACATCTTTTTATAGTGTGGTGACCAAAACTGGATGCAGTATTCTAGGTATGGTCTTACTAAGGTTTTATAGAGTGGTATTACCATATTTTTTGGAGAAAAGACGCACTTTTCCCCCCTAAAAGAGGGTGAACATTTGGGTGTGTCTTATACACCGAATGTAGCCCCACCCATCCACTGGCCCCCAACCTATGGCCTCCGCACATCCTCTCAAATGGAGCTTTTGGAGGCTCCAAACTCAGCCTCTCAAACTGAGCTTTTGGAAGGTGAAAAATGGCAACCTGGAACAGCTGCTGCCTTGTCCGACTGGTTCCATGTTTCGCCTGCTGTACTCACTGGAGCACCCTGTGATGATTAGCTGCACTGTTGAAACTGTGTATCTGCCCCAACAAGGCAGATACATAGCAGCACGCTCACAACCAGTGAGCCTGTTGCTAAAGTTCACCTCTGGGAACAGCTGAAGATATTGAAGAGTACTGGGTCTAAGACGGAACCTTGCGGTACCCCACTGCTTACTACTCTCCATGTAAACTTAGATCCATTAAGGGATACTCATTGAGTACAGTTTGTCAGCTAGTTGCAAATCCATCTGGTGGTGATGCTATCACACTTTTTTTTTTAGCTTACCAAGAAGTAGGTTGTGGTCTATTTTGTTGAATGCTTTGCTGTAGTCTAAGTATATTGTGTCCACAGTATTTCGCTGGTCTACTAATTTAGTCACTAATAGAATGGCAATAGGAATTGGCAATAGAAATACAGAGACAAAGTGCTCCTTGTCCAGTTTCAGGGCTGGGAGAATGGCTTAGAAAACAAATTGTGCAAGTCACATTGTGAATATACTCCTCAGTTTTTCATTAAACCTTAATATATTGTGGCTTGTTTGTATTCAAAATGCTTATAAATTTATCACTGTTGTTTTCCCTTTATTTTATTATTTAAAACAAACTGTATGGAAGAAAACTTAATAGGTATTTTGGGTTTCTCTATACAAGCATTTATGTATGAGACATGTTTTAAGTTGACAGAAATTAATTGCAAATATTACAAACATTAAAGTACCTTTGTTAAAGTAGAAATATTTCCTTTTAAAATTTTGATAGTATATTTTCTAAAGCTTTGCTTGCAATTAATTGAATATATTCTGTCTATAATGCAACTACATTCATTTAGTAATTCATACCTAATCACTGAGATCTTAGCAATTGATGCTTGCTGGTAAACAAGCAATTACAGATTATATCATATTATTAGGAAGTAAATGCTAAGGTAATTTTCAAATACCTTTCCAAGAAACATTTCTTACTTCAACCTGTTTACCAACGAACATCTGTAAATTGTTGAAGATTCTGAGCTTATCCTAGGATTCAAACCTATGGAGCCGGTGCTGGAATTCATCCATCATGAACTGAGAATCCGCCAACAAACACACTCAACATTCTCTTGTAACTACACCATTAGAGGGAGATTAGTAGCAGTACTTAAGAAGCAGTCTTTCATGGAAGCTTGTTCCCATTACTGAACTGAACCCAGAGTGACCTGGATGACAAGAAGAAAAGCACTTCGTGTATCATATTTGAGGGCAGCAATGGTATATTATTTAATATAATTGTAAAGGATGCTTGCATTTTCAATTTATTGTATGTAATTTGATGGACAACATGCAGTTGTAATTAGTATTGGATAGCTTGCCAGATGTCATAATGGAAATTGATCACAATCAACAAAGGTCACAAATATTGAATCTTTGATATTAATGTTGGAAGAAATGTCCATCTAGGTTCAGTTCCAAGTGGGAAGAATGACACTAGAAACATGGAGACTGCTTGGAAAGATGGTTTAATGGTTTAATGGTGGACAGGACCACATTGGTCCAAAGAGTACATGGAATGGAGAGAAGGATATATTTATACACTCTCTTGGGCCCTGCCTTAGAGTTTCCTGTTCCTGTACAAGAAATGTATCCCATTGACTGTCAGACTCCCAGGTGGCAGGGATCTTAGCTAACTTTGTAGGCTGCCTGTGTCCCAGGCCTGGTTGAATCTTACTGGGTGATGATGTAATGAAGGGGCTTTGGGCAATTCCTATTATGGCTTAATGGCTTTGTCTTTTGTGTTGTAGATAAGCTGGCCCAGCCTTTTGTCTTGCAAATAACCAAAGTATCTGCTGGGAGCTGGGGCTGAGTTTCTGTTTTAAGATTTCTATTTCTCTTTTAGGGAAAATATTCTGCCTTTTAATATTTCCTAGAATGTTTCGTTTTCCTAGGAGAGGGGTCGGTGCTAACTTCCTACATTAATACAGTATTTTAAAAACATTTTTTTCATTCAGGTTAGTGTGAATTTTGTCCTTTTATGAAAGTATAAGTGGAAAAATGTTGAAATTTTAAAAAGGTTTATGTCCCAATTTCCCTTGCAACATTTTCTAGGTTGCACAGAAATATCAGGAAGCTGGACAGGATGAAAAATGCTATATAATTTAGTGCAGGAATATGGTGGAATCAAGCAAGTAAAAAGCTCATTTCTGAAATACAGTTGTTTCCCTCTGGATAAGGAACTTTGTGAGTCATCTTTTCCCCATTAGCAGGGACTCATGCCCCAATGTGCCTTCAGATCCTTCCCACCTTTTCAACTCTTCATCATAAGGACTCATGACTGGGGTTTTCTATATATTCATAGGGTATTTGATGAATGACACAGCAACAACTCCTTTTTCCCTCCTTTTATTTTTTCTTTTCCATTTATTAAGTGAAAAAAGCTAGCAGCATCAGTTAGTTTCATTTTCCCAGTCTAGCTCTGCAAGCAAATTTACAACTAGTGTTTCTCCCAATAATGCTACTGCCTGACTTTTTAATTTGCAGAGAAAACTTTTTTCTCTACTACAGTGTTTCCCCAAAAATAAGACAGTGTCTTATTTTCTTTTGACCCCCCCCCCCAAATAAGGGCTTGGTCTTACTATTTGGGGTCTTATTATTTTGGGGGTGTAGAGGTGGTGAGCGTAGGACTGGATGTCCTGTCACTGCCATTGCCTCCCCTCCCTGTTCTGCATGCCGGCCAAGTGGCCCAATGTGTCCCACCCCACCCCAATGGCAACAGCTGCTTTCCTTCCCTGCCATCTCTTTCTCGAGAGGGTTGGCAGGTGGGGTGGGGGAGAAGCGAGACATGTGGAGCGAGACATGGCTCCTCTTGCCGTCTCTTCTCCCACCCTCGCCGGGCATGATGGGACTCCTGTCCCTTGCTTACCCACCCACCCCCTTTAGGGATGCAATTTGGGGGTGGCAGGTGGGACTGGCAAGAAGTGGGATGCAGGTCTTACCTTTCAAGCTCCATCTCTTTCCCTGCCATTGTGTCCAGGGAAACCTTGGAAAACCTTTTCTTGTAAAAGAAACCTTCTCGTGAGTTTGAGAAGTTTGATTGAAGTCGCGAGAAGGTTTTCTTTTACAGCATCTTTCCCTGGATACAACGGCGAAGAAAGCGACGGAGCTTGAAAGGTAAGGGGGGAGGAAGAAGAGACGGCAAGGGGACCCACATCTCGCTCCATGCGTCTTGCTTCTCCCCTGCCCCACCTGCCACCCCTCTCAAAAAAGAGACGGCAGGGAAGGGAAGCAGCCAGGCTGCTGTTGCCATTGGGGTGGGGTGGGACGTGTTGGGCCACTCGGCTGGCATGAAGAACAGGGAGGGGAGGGCATGTCCCCCCCTTTTCCCCCCTCTGGCCTTGCCTCCTCAATTCAGTATGGTTGCATGGCAAGCAACCAGAGGAAATGGCAGGACCGGTTTTGCATGCGTGTAAGTAGTTGGTGGGGGGCTTATTTTATGGGGGTGGCTTATATTATCGCATGCGCTGAGAAGCTTGATTGGGCTTATTATCCAGATATGTCTTATTTTCGGGAAACACGGTATAGAATATGATTGTCTAACATTTCTCTAACTGTATATATGTTTGCAAGGAATGATGTTGCTTAAACAAGTATGTGCATATTAACATTTCTAATTACTCTACTCTCTATCTACATCCTACTTTAGAACTAAGGAAAAGAGTAACCATATAATGACCAGCCTCCTTTCTCTCTGAGACTGACATAGATTTCCTCCCTTGGCTCTGACTGATAGACTGTATTATCTTCTGCAATCCTTAATCTCAGAGAGATCATTTGCAAAGCATAAGCAAGATGGTGCATTCTTCTCTTCTTTTGGATCTTACTGAATAACTCTCTTCAGCAATCTTCTCCAAAATTGCCCTTAAACACATGAGCCTTCAGCAGTATGCTGATGGGTGCTCTATCCCTGGAGGTTTCCAAGAAAAGATTGGACATTTGTTTGTCCGGTATGGTAGAAGAACTCTGGGGTTGGACTTAGAAGACCTAAGGTCTCTTCCAGCTATGATTCTAGTATAACACAACCCAATCAGATTTAGTTCTATCAGACAGCATTACTGTGTACTAAAGCAATAGTCTTGCTTCTGAGGTCTGAGGGTGAAAATGGTGGTGATGTGTGAAGTGCCCACAATTTTCCTGTTTGATCTTCATCATTATCTATAAGTAGACTCATAGGAGGAAATAACCATTAATGGCTATTAATTGTGAAGGTTAATGTCAGAGGCAGAAAAATTGCCTTGGCAGAGATATGCAAGCTCTATTACTAATGCAACAAGGGGAAAACAATTTGTAATCTACAATAGATGGAAAATTGGTAGAAGAAGCTCAGACATGTCCCTAATTCACAGGAGAGAAAGGTATAGCTCAGACTTGCAAGATGCTGTTATTTTAGCTATTCTCAATAAAAATAATTTTATTTTTCCTGCAGAATTGATTTCCCTGTCTGATCTAACTGGTGGAGCTGACAGTTAAGTACTCCCGGACCAGCAATGGAATGATTCTCAATACCAACTCTGATCTCCAGGAATTTGACTAACCGCTTGAGGAACAGAACAATATTTCCTCCAGGCAGAAGACAATTGGAAACCTGCATCAAAATGTTATATAACAGTTTGTACTTACCTGCTCACTGGATATTGGTGGGGAATGATGAGAGTATTAAAAATGCAATTCAGCATTATTCTCATCTCCTATATGAGTTTATTAAGAATTGTGAAGGAGATAACAAGTACATGTTACTTTTAAAGCAATATTGCTTTAGTAATAGAAGCACCCTTATTGGTATCCACTATCTCTCTCACATGCTTTCATAACATTTAGGTGCCCTTGCTCTCTGGTCTCTCCATTCTAATCATGTTTATTGCTGTCCATTCCCATCAGTGGCACAGATTCATGTGAGTATCGTTAAAAAGACACATGGTTTATTTACTCATTAGCATATCCAGCTGTTAGTTTTCCTTCTCCCAATATTTCAGACTAAGTAGCCATTTGTCAAGAATAACCCCCATTCAATAGAGGTTGAAGGATATTATAAAAACAAAGCTTTTTCTTTAGGTATTCTGTACAGTATCTGGTTAGAGGAGAAATAATCTAACAACAGGATGGGCAGGAAGATTCAAAGCTTTTACTTAAATATATATGTTAAAATGAGTGAAATGTTACTTTATTAAATGGATGATATTAAATTAAGAACAATGAATCAAAAGTTTCTTCTCAACATTTTAAACCAACCCAACATTTACAACTTTAATCATTCATGTCCTATTCTTAACAGCCATCAGGTGCCCAAACTCTGTGGCTGATTGAATTAAAATGAGTCAGCTGGGGAATGATTGGCTCATTTTCCCTGGAGGCTCAAGAGCAGTCAAGAAGAGATAACATAAGTGCCTGGTAAGAGTGATCACTCAAGTGATTGGGCTCTATTTGCACTCCATAGGCTAGGCTGCCTAGCAGTAGCATTAGAACTGATCAACAGTTTGTATATACTTATCCTGTCAGATTCCAAAGCTGCTCTCAGAAGCCCCAATGCCATTTACACAATGTTATTTAGCCAATGTATGGCAAGTAATGTACTAGGTCCGTGATAACGAATCTATGGCATGTGTGCCAGAGATGGCATGCAGCGCCCTCTCTGATGGCACATGAGTCGTCACCCCAGTTCTGCCCTGCTGTGCATGTGTGTGCACCTCGCACCAGCCAGCTGGTCTTTAGGTCTCTGCTGCGCATGCGCAGGGGGCGGGGCGCATGCGGGGGTGCACATGCATGCATGGGGGCAGGGCGCATGCATGGGCCCATGTGCACATTACATTTTGGGGGTTCGGGCATGTGTGCTTTGGGCACTCGGTCAGGAAAAGGTTAGTCATCACTGTACTAGGTAATCTTTATTGAGCCCTGTGAAATACCTAACTAGGAGGCTCAACTTATTCTTTATACTGAAGAGTATAGCTTTGGCTTGTTTCAAGCCTAACTTTAAGAATTAGCTTATTATATATTTTACTTCCAAAATTACTACTCTACTAATTATCCCAGATATTAAGTTCCAAGAAGAGAACATTTCACTTGGATTAGGAAAACAACTTTCTGATAATTATGGGACAAAAGTAGAACCAGTTACATAAAAAGTCCTCTTTATGGACTATGTTCAGGCAATGCTAGATAGTCCTCTACCTGGGAAATTTTTACTTAGATTCCTGCCCTGAGCAAGAGCTTGGACTTGATGGCTTAGTGAATTGTTCCAATTGTTTCAATTCATGGATCATTTCATTTCTTTTTTTTAAAATATTTTTACTGAGGATTGTAATTACATAGTAAAAATAAATACAAACTAAATTCAGAGAAGGTGAAATAGAATAAAAAGTGTAAAAAAGAAAAACTTAGGATAAAAAAAGAAATATTTACAGAAATGATTTCTGATCTTCATCATAAGTACCACATAAACAAACTTAATATCTCTTCACCACTATAAAATTACAAATATCTCTTCTTCCCATAATAGCATAGCAATAGTATTTAGGCTTATATACTGCTCCATAGCTCTTTACATCAGTTTACAATGTAATAATCTATTCCTAATCTAAGTGCAATCTATAAATCATCCAACATTTCAGTCGGCAAAAAAGCCCATAAAGGGTTACCAGAATTTTACAGAACAGTGTCTTTCTCGGCTTGTCGTTCGTTCAGAACTGCGATAGGAAATAATCACCAGTAACGCACAGAGAATCAGGGTTTACTTTGGCAATGATAAGTTTGCAGTCAAAAGTAAAGTACAAGTCGGTGTTTTGGTTCAAAGTCAGCGCTGGGTGTAATCACACCACAGTGCTATTTAACAAAAACTCAGCCCCTTAAACATACATCCGGTGATTATCAATCAAGCACCCCCCACTCCCTTAACAGTAACAGCTGCGAGCACCAGAGCAGCGAGGACAGCAGAATCGGAGAGGCCCAGCAACGTCATCAATCATCGCCCTGAATGCTGCTATCCAGGAACTATTTGTGTGTTCGCTGAGGTTGCTTATCTCCACTCCTTTTCCTCCCACACCCTCCATTGATGGCGAGCTCCGGTAGGACTCGACAGGCGGCCCCCCCTACCGGGAGCTCACCGATAAATAGAAAGCATACAAATGTTAGTCACTGTTACGATCCTGTATTAGGTTTGTCTGGGTATTTCCGATGGAACCGTTGTATCAATCGGGCAGCGTGAACATCGGGTGCTGCCACCCACGAGGCCTGTGTTATAGGATATCCTTTCCACCGCACAAGATATTGTAACATCCCCCTACGAACCCTGGAGTCCAATATTCGATCTATCTCATATTGGTTGGTATGCACGGGACCCGGTGGAGTAGTCGAGGTACCTGGCCTTTCTGTCGTCACCGTTTCACCAAACTGCTATGGAATACGGGATGTATCCTACTGAACAGAGGGGGAAGTTTAAGAGCTACGGTTACGGGATTGATGACTTGTGTTATGGGAAATGGTCCTATATATTTAGGTCCTAATTTTTTACTGGGCAGTCGGAGTTTAAGGTATTTTGTAGATAAGTATACTTTGTCTCCTATCCGGAATGGTTTTGGATCAGCTCTTTTCTTGTCTGCATATTTTTTGTACTCGTCTGCTGCCTTTTGTAATGCTGTTTTTACACTTGGCCATACATGACTAATTTTATCGGCCCAACCGCGTGGCGTGTCACCGTCTGTCATAGGGGGATCTAACTCTGGAATGGCTGAAAACTCTCGGCCATATATTACTTGGAAAGGGGAGAACCCAGTACTGCAGTGAGGTATGTTGTTATATGCCACTTCGGCGAAAGGCAGGAGTCCTGACCAATTCGTCTGCTGGTAAGAAACGTAGCATCTGATATATCTTTCGACCATGGCATTGGCCCGTTCAGCCGCCCCCCATTAGTGCTCGGGTGGAATGCTGAACTTAACCCTTGAGAGGACCCAATTAAACGGACAAATCGTCTCCAAAATTTAGAGGTGAATTGAACACCGCGGTCGGATATAATCCTCTTAGGTGCTCCATGGAGACGATAGATATGTTGTAAAAAGAGTTCGGTTAATTGTCGCGCGGATGGTATGCTTTTACATGGCACAAAGTGGGCCTGTTTCGAAAACAGATCTACCACCGTCCAAATTACAGTGTGGCCATGGCTAGGGGGGAGATCGACTATGAAATCCATAGCGATCTCTTCCCAAGGCCTGCTAGGATTCGCGACTGTCTGTAATAGTCCTAACGGTCGTCCAGACCAGGGTTTGGCGGTTGCACAGGTTGTGCAACCTTTTACGTATGTTTCTATGTCCTTACGCATTCGTGGCCACCAGAATTGCCTCCTCACAAGGTGTAGAGTTTTTAAATACCCAAAATGGCCTGCTGACTTGGCATCATGGCACCTGCATAACACTACGTTCCGTAAACGTTCTGGAACATATATTCTATTCTCCCTCCACGCTATTCCATCATTATAGCTAACCATAGAGGGGTTTTGGATTATCCATTGATCCTGTTGTAAAGCTGTTTTAAACTCGGTACGTAAGTGACCATCTACTTCTGTAAGTCTTAATAGGATTTGGGAAGGTGCAATTAGAGGTTCTATCACTTCCTCTCGCTTGCTATTATACTGTGGCATCCGGGACAGCGCATCAGCCAGGAAGTTTTTCCCAGCAGGAACATACCGCAACCGGAAAGAGAAACGCTGAAAATATTGTGCCCACCTTATCTGTTTGGGAGATAGTCGCCTGGGCGTTTGTAAGGCTTCTAAGTTTTTATGGTCCGTCCATACCTCAAAAGGATGAGACGCCCCCTCCAAGAGATGTCGCCATGTCATCAACGCCCAACGGACCGCGAATGCCTCTTTTTCCCAGATCGCCCATGCCCGCTCTGTCGTGGTTAACTTTTTAGACGTATAGGCACAAGGTTGTAACCCTCCCTGCTGTGTTCTTTGTAGGAGTACTGCTCCTACAGCCACGTCGCTAGCATCTGCCTGGACTACGAATGCCTGCGTTGGGTCTGGATGCTTGAGTACTGGTTCTTGAGCAAAGAGTGTTTTTAAACTGCTTGAAAGCCATTTGACACGCTGACGACCACGTCAACGCTTGTCCCGGCTTTGGTTTAGCCGTGGCCGGTTTGGTCCGTAACAGATCCGTTAGTGGTAGGGCTATTTCAGCAAATCTGGGAATGAACTGCCGATAGAAGTTTGCAAAGCCTAGAAAGCTCTGCAATTGCTTTCTGGTTCTAGGGGCCTGCCATTCAAGCACTGCCTGGACTTTTCTGGGATCCATCTCTACCCCGCTCTCTGATATTCTATAGCCTAGATAATCTATCCTCTTTTTGTGAAACTCACATTTGGATAGTTTCACGTACAGCCTAGCAGCTAATAATTTGTCTAAGACCTGTCGGACCAGAGATATATGTTCCTCTTCAGTTTGCGTGTAAATTAAGATGTCATCCAAATATACAAGGACACCCCTGTACAGATGTTCATGCAGCACTTCATTGATGAACTGCATGAACACCGCAGGGGCGCCCTGTAGTCCGAATGGCATGACCTGGAACTGATAGCTTCCCAAGGGACAACTGAATGTTGTTTTCCACTCATCCCCTGGTTTGATTCGTATCCTATAATACGCTTCGCGTAGGTCGAGTTTCGTAAAGATACGACCGGTGGCTAGGGCAGCTAAC